CATCAGGGGTGTACCTTGTAAAACCCCCTTTTTTGACATCTAATAGGTCCCCCCCACATGAGAGGGGTTATTGGCATATTGCCAAACAGAGTGCCACCCTATAGTACAGGGATGGTGAACCTATGACACTAGGGTCAAAGGTGACACGCTACAGAGTTTTGGGTGATACACTTAGGTTCATCAGTATAAAGCAACAGCTATTCCCATAAGAACGCCCCAAGTATGGAGGGTGTGTTCCTGCGCAACCCTCCGGACGTTCCACAAGAGGGCTGTGCTTTTGTGCAACCTCTGGAGAGAGGTTGAAGAGAAATAAGAATAGGAAAGAATAAGAATAGAACAGAACAGAAAAGAGCAGAATAGAAATAAGAATAGGAAAGAATAAGAATAGAGTAGGATAGGGTAGGGTAGGATAGGGTAGCATGGGATAGGATAAGATAGGATTGGATTGGATAGGATAGGAATTATTAGGAACAGAATAGAATAGAATAGAATAGAATAGAATAGAATAGAATAGAATAGAATAGAATAGAATAGAATAGAATAGAATAGAATAGAATAGAGAATAGTATGGAATGGAATAGAATAGAATAGAATAGAATAGAATAGAATTATTAGGAATAGAATAGAATAGAATAGAATTGAATTGAATTACAGGATGTCATAGAATGGAATAGAATAAAAATAATGAATATAGAATAGAATAAAATAGAATAGAAAATATGGAATGGAATAGAATATAGAATAGAATAGAATAGAATAGAATTTAAGAATAGAATAGAATAGAATAGAAAATATGGAATGGAATAGAATATAGAATAGAATAGAATAGAATAGAATAGAATAGAATAGAATAGAAAATATGGAATGGAATAGAATAGAGAATAGTATGGAATGGAATAGAATTGAATTGAATTACAGGATGGCATAGAATAGAATAGAATAAAAATAATGAATATAGAATAGAATAGAACAGAATAGAATAGAATAGAATAGAATAGAATAGAATAGAATAGAAAATATGGAATGGAATGGAATAGAATAGAATAGAATAGAATAACTTTATTCTCACTTAAAATATACACTAATCAGCATACATTAAAATGAAATTTTGTTGCATTCAGCTCTTGGAGGGTAACCACCTCCAATATACACTATGTAAACATGACAAAAAATTGATCTTCTCAGGAACGGGTAAGCCAAGACTACCATTTGTTATTTTAAAAAATAAATAAATAAAAGAAATATGCTTTGAGGAAGGGTTGCTTAGAGCAGAGAAATCCTGCCCATCTGCCGTTCCTCTGTTGCAGATTAGCATTCGTCCACCACTCCCTGGTTGAATACCAAGTGGTTTTGCACAGCTATTCATGTGCTTAGAAATTCAGAAAGTGTAGGCGTATGAGGAGCAATTGATATATAGGTAGTCCTTGACTTATGACAACAATTGAGCTCAACATTTCTGTTGCTATCTGAGACAGGTGAGTTTTGCCCCATTTTATGACCTTTCTTGCCACAGTTGTTAAGTGAATCACTGCAATTGTTGCGTTAGTAAGACAATTGTTAAGTCAATCTGGCTTTCCCTGCTCCTGTGACCCTGGGGATGCTGCAAGTGTGAAAATGGTCATAAGCCACTTTTTTCAGTGCCATTATAACTTCAGATGGTCACTAAATGAACTGTTGTAAGTTGAGGACCACCTGTAGTCACTCCTCAATACTTCTCATATGTACTATATTAGTGGTTGCAGGTTAGAAAGGTAGGCGTTATGACCACCTTAAATATTAGTCATTTTCTATACAAGGTATAATTTACCCGGATCATTCAAGATTTAGCCTAATTCCACCAGCAATTTTAGTTTAGAAGGATATATCCACTTCAACAGAAATGTTGACCAATCAATCTGGTAGTAAAAAGCTCATTGTCTTAATTTCAGGCCAAAGATTTGATGATAAGGGGGAATATTTAAGTGTCAAGGTTGAATTGCTAAGATGCCTGTTAACTTCTAGCCCTACTCAACTTGCTCCCCATGGGAGGGGTAGAAAATGCCAAGGTCATTGACACAGGTGTCTGACGGAGAGAGGTGGATCTTTCTCATAACAAACCAAAGCTATATGATTGGCAACGTGAACAACTGGTGGGTGGGGGTTAAGGGAAGCTATTATTAACTAGGCAGTTTTTCCCATGGGAAAACCAGAGCTGGTTTTGCTTCTTCAGTTCCAAGATGTGTATTCAGTAAAGTTTATCTTTTATGGTAGAGGTCACCAACCTTTTCAGCTGGGAAATTTGTGTGTGTTTGTGTGTGCGCGTGCGAACAGGAACGTGTGCCCCGGCACGGCACTATCGACCCCATTTGCGCAGGTGCGCAGATGCTACCCGCTGCTGCTAGCACCCACGTGCATCCACAAACAGGCCGCTGCTGCTAGCACTGCACACATGTACAAATTGCTCATGCAATCCGCACGGCGTTAGCGATCCCGTTTGCACAGGTGCTAGCCACCGCTGCTAGCACCTGCGCACCTGCGCAAACAGGCCATGCAACCCCCGCACATGCAAGCGTCCCAATTTGCGCAGGCGCTAGCCACCACCGCTAGCCCCGCTCACATGCGCAGACAGGTCTACGGGCACTAGCACGAGTCAATGCGTGCAGTGGCCATCCTGTCCCACGGTCCGGTGGCCAGTAGGTCACAGCCCGCTAGTGGGCTGCAGCCTATAGGTTGGGGACCCCTGTTTTATGGCACTTCAAAGCCTTGAAGATTCCTTGATTTTGAGTTCGCTATTTGGATGGTTGATACTCAGCCTATTACTTACATGGAAAACCAGAGTAAGACATACTAAATCATGTTCATGTTTTCAGCTGAACATGGATAAAGGCCTTCCAAATTTGGGATGTTTTCAAATCTCCCCTCCAATGCAAGGGTAAAGGTTAAGGTTTCCCTTGTTCAGTCATGTCCAACTGTGGGGGGGCGATGCTCATCTCTGTTTCCTAGCTGAAGAAGCCAGCATTGTCCAAATACACTTTTGTGGTCATGTGGCCAGCATGACTATATGCCAAGGCACATGGAATGCTGTTCCTTAAAGTGGTACCTGTTTATCTACTTGCATTTGCATGCTTTCGAACTGCTAGTTGGGCAGCAGCTGAGGTGAGGAACCGGAGCTCATCCTGTCATGAGGTGCTTGGGTCTCGAACATGGCTGTCAACATTCCAGCTGACAAGTTCGGTGTCTTTAACTGCTGAGCCATCACGTTCCTTTCCCCTCCAATGTAATCAAGGGTAAAATGTTAAGCTTTGCTAATACAAATGCGGTGCTGTGTACAATGGAGAGAATGATGGAGAGGTAATTGGGTACGGAAAAAGATGTGCAACAGAGGCCCTGGTGTGGAAGTTTGGGCCTGACGACTTGCAGTTCCAGATCAAGGACTTGTACTGTGGTCCCAGCATCAGCAGGGATTTGCTGAGAGGGCTGCAGGGACGGGAAGCTGAAGCGACACCTGTCAGACAACATTGTTACCTGCATCTTCCTTTCTTTGGAGAACGGGCAAGTGGCAAGGTCTGAGTTGAGTTAGGAGATGCTCCATGTGGAGCATTTGCCAGTGCTGTTCTTGCTGGAGATGGAAGTAGACTTGGAGAAAGGAAAGGGTCTTCTTCAAGGCCTTGTAGTCTTGGGTGGTTATTGTGGCATAAGTTTGGAATAAGAATGATTATGTCCATGGGCTTCTAACCTCCATTCATGGACTAGTGTTATAAGTCCTGCTTTATGGTTTACATGGGCTGAGGAATGCTGTACAAACCATTCTTTGAAAGTTTTTGCCCCTCATGTTTAGTGTTGAGAACCAACCCACCCTCTCTCCCTCCCTCCCTCTCTCCCTTCCTTCCCTCCCTCTTTCCCACCTTCCCTCTCTTTCTCCTTCTTTCTTTCTTTCTTTCTTTCTTTCTTTCTTTCTTTCTTTCTTTCTTTCTTTCTTTCTTTCTTTCTTTCTTTCCTTCTTTCCTTCTTTCCTTCCCTGTCTCTCTCCTTCCTTCCCTCCTTCCCTTCTTCTCTTCTTCCTTCCCTTCCTCTCTTCCTTCCCTGTCTCCTTCCTTCCTTCATTCATTCCTTCCTTCCTTCCTTCCTTTCTTCTCTCCTTCCCTCCCTCCCTTCCTTCCCTGTCTCCTTCCTTCCTTCCTTTTCCTTCCTTCCTTTCTTCTTCTTTCCTTTTCTACTTCCCTCACTTCCTTCCTTCCTTCCTCTCTCCCTCCCTCCCTCTCTCCCTCCCTTCTTCCTTCCTTCTCTCCTTCCCTCACTCCCTTCCCTCCTTCCTTCCTTCCTTCCTTTTCTAAATTATTCTGTTTTCAACCACCCCAAATACCGAATCATCCTACTTAGGATAGCTAGATGTTCTATTTAGTTGGGTATATTCTTTTCTACCAGAACTTCAAGGCATCGTTTCCCTTGTCCACTGCATGCAGGATCTTTTCTTCCTCTCTACCACTCCTACTTACTTTATAGCCAGCAAACTCTTAATCCTTTTAGTCCCTTTGCATAAAACAGAACATAACACAGAAGCTGTTTGACACCCCAGGTAATTTTTCCAGGACATTAATTTTAATATGAATGGAGCATCAAATGCTCCTTTGGAAGTCATTAAATTCCCAGCCTGAATCTGTTTATAGAAACCTGAATTATATGGAAGAGAAGCTCTAATCAGATTGTAGCTACCGGGCTTAGGTGAAATCAATTACTTTGCAGCTCAAATTGATTGCTTTTCATTGCAGACCTGAGTCTTTTGATTACATGTTTTGAAAGTATGACATGAATAGCTTTGGACTTATTATAGCCATGTGTATTCATCAGCATGGAGCAGAGAAATCCCAGTTGCCAAATTCACCTCAGTAACACCAAAAAAAAAATCAAAAAAATCAAAATCCTTTAAAATCATCTGAACCCTTTTCTGTTGTCCTGTGTGAACTCTTTTTTTTTTTTTTTTAAATAGAATGTTAATTCAGGGATTATGGTTTTGTTTGCAGAACAACACTGTTTGGAAGCCGGACTCGTGCCAAGAGTGTGGTTGCCATAGCGACGTTGTCCTGTGTGAAGCGGTTGCGTGCAGAAACCCTCGCTGCAACATTCAGAAGGTAAGAGAAGACCCGGACATCCTGGCTGGCGGGAACTGAACGAGTGGGAGGCTCTGAGGCTGATTCACTTTTCCTAAGCTTCTGCTTTAGATGCTGGAAGGTTGCAGCTTCAGTCTAGGGCAGACTGAAAATCTAGAGGGGGCGGGGGTGTCTCCAAACTTGATGATTTTAAGACTTGTGGACTTCAACTCCCACAATTCCACAGGCCAAGTTTGGAGACCCCCCCATTCTAAAGAGGTGTTCATGATCAGCTAGTCCTTCTTCTTGTGCCATATCCGTTATTGGACGTTGGTGATCTTGTTTTTATCAGCAGCCGCACGAAAAAGTGCTGTTGAGTTTTGTCCCAACCAGTCCCTTTTATTTTGAAGCCACGATGTTCTTCTTCTGCCTGGACCTCGTTTGCCTTCAATCTTTCCCTGGAGGATTAAAAATGGAGTATGCCATATTTTTCTGGGTGTGGCATCACAGGTCCGAAATATTCTAATTTTCGTTTTTTAATTGTTTTGATGATTTCCCTTGGCTTTCCCAGGCGGCTTATCACCTCCTCATTTCTGATCTTGTCAGCCCAACTTATAGGTAACAGCCGCCTGTAAATCCACATTTATTTATTTATTTCTAAAATTTATATGCCGCCCAATCCCAAGGGACTCAGGGCGGCGTACAAAATTAAAACAATAATATGACAATAAAACAATAAAATAAATACATTCATACAGCGTGTCCGATCATATCCCGGCCCACTAGAAGCATTTCAAATGCTTCTAATCTCTTCAGCTGGCCTTCTGTCAGAGACCAACTCTCTACTCCATAGAGCAGGATAGAAAAAACATAGCATCTGACAAGCCTGATTTTCAGTCTTAGGCTTATGTCGTGACTGCAGAAGACCTTTTTCATTTTGAAGGATGCTGTTCGAGCTTTCTCTAGTCTAGGGGTTCCCAACTCCCTGGTCCATGGACTGGTACCGATCCACGGCATGCCAGCAACTGGTCTGCACAAACAAGCAAAGCCCCATCCATGGGATGTAGGCAGCACACGAAACCACATATCTCCGATCTGTGGAAAAACCTCTCTCCACGGAACCGGTCCCTGGTGCCCAAAAGATTGGGGGTCGCTGAACTAGTCAACAAGCTGAGGTCTCTCACATCTTTGAGGTTATCATTGTAGACTTCAGCTGACTTGCCTGATAAACTGGGGTCCTTTTTTTTCCAGAGATCGGGGATCCTAACTCTCCAGATCTTCAGTCAACATACTTTGAGCCTTAGAGGAGGCATGTTATCATATACATGAAAGCTACATGAAGTCACGTTCCTCTGGTGTAGGCTCAGGAATTAATGGGTTAAGAGTGAGAGAGTTGTGATGAATAGGCCATATAGAAAATTCTGTTAGGTAGCAATGGTTCCACTCCATGGATATGTGAAAGTTTAGCACTAATCTCTAAGAGTTTTTAGAAATTATCAGTCATGCTGATTGGCAATGCTGGCAGATGTCCTCCTAGCACACCTGAAAGCACCAGGTAGAGCTGTTCAGTAAGAATTGAACAGCATGACATGATAGCAGAGTTCCAATATCTCAGGGGCTGCCACAAAGAAGAGGGAGTCAAGCTATTCTCCAAAGCGCCTGAGGGCAGGACAAGAAGCAACGGATGGAAGCTAATCAAGGAGAGAAGCAATCTAGAACTAAGGAGAAACTTCCTGACAATTAACCAGTGGAACAACCTGCCTCCAGAAGCGGTGAATGCTTCAACATTGAAAGTCTTTAAGAAGAGACTGGACAGCCATTTGTCTGAAATGGTATAGGGCAGTGGTGGTAAACTATGGCACGGGTGCCAGAGGTGGCACTCAGAACCCTCTCTGTGGGCACGCGCGCTGTCACCCCAGTCCTAGGCCTTCAGCTGGGTTTTATAAAACCTTTTTGCTTTAGGCCTCTGCCTCCATGTGCAAAAAAAAAAAAAGGTTCAATCAGTCAATTTCAACTTCTTGCGGGAAAAAAAAGATCTTGCAAAGTTGGAATTGATTGATTGAACTTTTTAGTCCCACCCAGTCTGCCATTACCACCGCAGCCACGCCCACCCAATGGGCCACACCCACCCGGCACTCGATGATGCATAAGTGGGTTTTGGGTTGCAGTTTGGGCACTCGGTCTCTAAAAGGTTCGCCATCACTGGCATAGGGTTTCCTGCCGGATGACCTCCAAGCTCCCTTCTAACTTCATTATTATTATTATTATTATTATTATTATTATTATTAATTAATTAATTAACCAGCATGTTAGGTGCACTGACTGAATATGACATGTAGTTAGGTTTCTTTTCCACATTCCAGTTTTGTAGAGGATCTGGGTAACCTAAGAGCTGAAGGACGAATCTCTTTCTTTATATATTCCTATGATAATAGCCTCCAGTAAAACAAGCTGCTTTCTTCATTGTTTTTACGTTACCAGGCAAATCACAGTTTATTTTTTCGGGCCTTTTACTAACTTATAACTTGAATATTTTAGGCTCCAGAGAAACATTCTTTTTCATTACCTCCTGTTAGGCATTTCTGGTTTTGCATGCTGCATTTTTAATTGCTCTATTTAAAAAAAAAAAAAACGGAACATATTGAAGTTTCAGCGGGTGGCAAGGCACCGTATGAGAGTCCATTTTGGAGGGCAGTAGTATCAGTTAAAAAAGAAAGAGAAATTAATAGCCATACAAATGCAAAGAAATGCTTGTTGAAAGAGTGTGAGTGGTTATTTGCACAACGTTTTTTCTCTTCAGGAGGAATCACTTCAAATATCACCCAACGCTTGCTGCCCTGAGTGTGCTAAACAAACTGAAGGGTTTTGTGAGTACGAAGGACAACTCAGGGAAGTAAGTACTATATTTTTTCCCCAGATGAGAACTTATGTGGATTCCGCAGACAAAGTCTTAAGGGGCCATGCTGGGACCATGTTCTATGTAAGATGAAGTAGGTTGCTGGCCTCTTTCATAGCCATTAGATCAGGGGTAGGCAACCTTGGCTCTTTTATGACTCATGGACTTCAACTCCCAGAATTCCTGAGCCAGCATGGCTCAGCTTGGAAACCTCTCCCTTTCCCCTCAGCACGGCTGGCTCAGGAATTCTGGGAGTTGAAGTCCATGAATCATAAAAGAGCCAAGGTTGCCTACCTCTGGCCTAGGCTGCTTTATGACTCATGGACTTCAACTCCCAGAATTCCTGAGCCGGCATGGCTCAGCTTGGAAACCTCTCCCTTTCCCCTCAGCGTGGCTGGCTCAGGAATTCTGGGAGTTGAAGTCCACGAGTCATAAAGGGGCCATGGGTTCCCCATGCTGGCTCAGGAATTCTGGGAGTTGAAGTCCATGAGTCATAAAAGAGCCAAGGTTGCCTACCCCTGCATTAGATGTTTCCCATAAAGTGTTTTTTCTGTGATTGTTGGCTTCATGATATTTTGTGTCGATATAATGCACTGGCACTCTGAATGCTACTAGCCTGATAAATGTCTATGGAGATTCTCAGTCATCCAGGTCATGGTTGTCCCAAAGGTGCTTTTTCACGAGGCAACTGAACTTTCTTGTTTTCCTTTGAAGACGTTTCGCTTCTCATCCAAGAAGTTCCTTCAGCTGAGAACTGAAGAAGCTTCTTGAATGAGAAGCGAAGCGTCTTCAGGGAAAAACAAGAAAGTCCAGTTGCCTCGTGAAAAAGCATCTTTGGGACTAGCCTGGTAACCAAACATCTTCCAGGAAAGCGACCTGAGAACAGCAGAACAGCAAGAATCCAATACAGGTAGTCCTTGATTTATGAGCCCAACATTTCCGTTGCTAAGCAAGACAGTTGTTAAGTGAGTTTTGCCTCATTTTATGACATTTCTTGCCATAGTTGTTAAGTGAATCACTGAAGTTGTTCAGTTAGTAACACGGTTGTTAAGTGAATCTGGCTTCCCCATTGACTTTGTTTGTCAGAAGGTCGCAAAAGGGGATCGCGTGACCTTGGGACACTGCAACCGTCATACATATATTTATATGTGTATGTATGTATGTGTGTGTGTGTGTGTATATATATATATATATATATATATATATATATATATACACACACACACACATATATATATATGTATATGTATGTATGTATGCGTGTACACTCACACACACACACACATAATGAATATACTGAATATATTATATATTATATAAAATTTATATATTATTTATTACAAATGAATTCCCGAAGAAAGCTCTGCCCCAAATTTGGTGTGAGTAAATATCAAATGAAAACAAAAAACAAATGAATTATTACTAAAAAGATTCCACCCTTTCCTTGTTTCTTTTTTCATAGGCTCCTCCCCTGTTTAAGCAACACATTCAGGAACGGGTTGCAGCTAATGTTTGCATCACAAACGTGGGATGTGGTTTTCTTGGTGGTTACTGCTCATTGCAGGCAGTCATCAAATAAAACATCTGTGACTTTTCTTTTTTCCTGTACTTTTCCTGCTCATTTCTTTTTCTTCTGCTCTTTCCCTTGAAGCATGACACCGAGTGGGCCAGCTCGGGATGCAGGACTTGCTCTTGTGCCAGTGGAAGGGTTACTTGTGTTCCCAAACCCTGCTCTGGTCTTTCTTGCAAGGACAATGAAGTGGAACATATTGGTCCAGGAGAATGCTGTCCCAAGTGTGTAAGCAGAAAAGGTGAGAAATTGTTTTATCTCTCATTTCTGAAAGGCCAGATCCACACCTGAAGGTCCAGTTAAACGGATTCATTGCTAAAAAGACTAGGCCGTGGTGGCGAACCTATGTCACAGGTGCCACAGGTGGCACGCAGAGCTCTCTCTGTGGGCACTTGCGCTGTCGCCCCAGTTCTAGGCCTTCAGCTGGGTTTTATAAAACCTTTTTGCTTTAGTCCTCCGCCGCCATGTGGAAAACAAAAAGGTTCAATCAATCAATCAATTTAAACTTCTCGCAGGAAAAAAAAAAAAGATCTTGCAAAGTTGGAATTGATTGATTGAAATTTTTAGTCCCACCCAGTCTGCCTTTACCACCGCAACCACACCCACCAAATTGGCCACACCCAGCCAATGGGCCACACCCACCCGGCACCCGACGATACATAAGTGGGTTTTGAGTTTCAGTTTGGGCACTCGGTCTCTAAAAGATTCGCCATCACTGGCCTAGGCACAGTTGTTTTTTTTTTTTTTTTCAGCTAGTTGTTAGCACCTGTTTGGAGTTAGATAAGGGTCAACTGAAATCAAAGAAGGGTCAACTTGGTCTGCTTGTGACTATGTAGGGATTCTAGGCTGATCCCTCTTTTAACTCCGCCCCCAGTACCTGCCACTCCTTCTTGTACATTGTCACCTGGAAAGATGAGCATTTGTTGCTAGTTCAGCATTGCAAATTCTAACCTGTTAGATATTTGATAGACAGTCGTGGCCAAAATTGTGGAAAGCTTTTGGGAAAAGTGTACAGTAGAAATGCCATCTTTGGTTAAGTTTCCACCAATTTTTCTTCTAATTTCTTTATGACTATAGCCTTGTTCACTTAATAATACTATTTTACATCACTTTCTGGGAGACCAGTCAACTCTTTGCACCATTCCTTTAATTTTGTTACGTTTACAAGCTCAGTAAATGAAAGAACACAAAAAAACCCAACCAACTTGATAGCGATCACATAACACACTGACAAATGTCCTCCTCTCAGCTTCAATACATGACATCAATCACTGAACCCTACTGTGATCTGATTGGCTCATTGCCAAAACAAGATGACACCCGATTGGCTCTCTAAACACTCATGCTCATTGGCTACAATCAGATGAAGGAAAGCTACCCGATATCAACCTAAGCAAGTTGTGCTTCCTTTTTCTGGTTATTTAGCTATAACTTTTCATAGAATACAGTACAGATAATTGAACAAACTATGTTGCATTACATTCTTGATTAAACTATCTTTCCATTGATATATAATTTTATGTTACTACTTCAAAAAACAAGTGGTGTTATTAGTCATCAAACCTCAAAAAATACACTTTTCCCAAAAGTTTTCCACAATTTTGGCCACTACTGTATGCAACTACAGGTAGTCCTCCACCTAGAACAGTTCATTTAGTGACCATTCAAAGTTACAACCATTACAGCTTCGCCATGGACATGTAATAAAAATTCAGAAGCTTGGCAACTGGCTCATATTTATGATGGTTGCAGTGTCCTGGGATCATGTGCCCTTCTGACAAGCAAAATCAACAGGAAGTTAGATTCGCTTAAATGTGGCAAGGAAGGTCATAAAATGGGGCAAAATTCAACTGTCTCACTTAGCAACATAAATTTTGAGCTCAGTTGTGATCGTAAGTCAAGGACTGCAGGCTTAACAATCACAGTGGAGCCCAAAATTTCTGTTGTTAAGTGAGACATTTGTTGATTGAATTTTGCCCCATTTTACGACCTTTTTGCCACAGTTATTAAATAAATTACTACAGGTATTAAATTAAGAACACCGTTGTTAAGTGAATCTAGCTTCCCCAATGACTTTGCTTGTCAGAAGGTTGCAAAGGTGATCACATGACCCCCGGAGACTGCAACCGTCATAAATATGAGTCAGCTGCCAAGTGTCTGAATGTGATGGAGACCAACATTCCTCAAAATTGTGGGCTAAGCCAATACTCCATTGCATTATATTTACTACTGTGGTTTTGGCAGAAAAGCATGGACATCTGTTCTTAAATCTGGTTCTTCCAAAACTTTGAAATATGCATTATTGTATGATGATACAAACTCCAGCCTTTGATTCTTGCCTGACAATGTTGCACCCAGGGGCTTAAGTTGCAGCGTTTTATGCTATACCATTACATCCACCAGAAGTACATTATTTTCTTAGAACTGCAGAAATTCAGGGGCTGCCACAAAGAAGAGGGAGTCAAGCTATTCTCCAAAGCGCCTGAAGGCAGGACAAGAAGCAACAGATGGAAACTAACCCAAGAGAAAAGCAACCTAGAACTAAGGAGGAATTTCCTGACAGTTAGAACAATTAATCAGTGGAACAACCTGCCTCCAGAAGCTGTGAATGTTCCAACAATGGAGGTTTTTAAGAAGAGAAGCCATTTGTCTGAAATGGTATAGGGTTTCCTGCCTGAGCAGGGGGTTCGACTAGAATACCTCCAAGTCATCATCTCCTCCTCCTCCTCCTCCTCCTCCTCCTCCTCCTCCTCCTCCTCCTCCTCCTCCTCCTCCTCCTTCTCCTTCTTCTTCTTCCTCCTCCTCCTCCTCTTCCTCCTCCTCCTCCTCTTCTTCTTCTTCTTCTTCTTCTTCTTCTTCTTCTTCTTCTTCTTCTTCTTCTTCTTCTTCTTCTTCTTCTTCATGTTTGGCTGGACATTGCATGTTAAGTATTAGTACTGCTTTATAAAGCCTTGGTAAGACGACACTTAGAATATTGCATCCAGTTTTGGTCACCACAATGTAAAAAAGATGTTGACACTCTAGAAAGAGTACAGAGAAGAGCAATAAAGATGATTAGGGGGCTGGAGGCTAAAACATATGAGGAACAGTTCCAGGAATTGGGTATGTCTAGCTTAATGAAGAGAAGGACGAGGGGTGACATGTTAGCAGTGTCCCAATATCTCAGGGGCTGCCACAAAGAAGAGGGTGTCAAGTTATTGTCCAAAGCACCTGAAGGCAGGACAAGAGGCAACGGATGGAAACTAATCAAAAGAGAAGCAACTTACAAATAATGAGAAACAATTAACCAGTGGAGCAGCTTGCCTCCAGGAGTTGTGGGTGCTCCATCACTGGAGACTTTTAAGAAGAGATTGGACAACCATTTGTGTGAAATGGGACAGGCTCTTCTGCTTGAGCAGGGGGTTGGACTAGAAGACCTCCAAGGTCCCTTCCAGCTCTGTTATTCTCTTGTCTGTTATTTGTCTTGCAATAGACCTCAAACAGAGACCAACCTGGCTGTCTTTCATGTCTTTTAGACTCTTGTTCTTTTGATGGCGAAATAATCCCAAACGAGAAGGAATGGCGGGTGAGCCCATGTGCCAAATGCCTCTGTCGGAACGGCTCTCTCCAGTGTTTCACCGTTTTTTGTCCACCTGCCTTCTGTAATGTGGTAAGATGATGCATGCTGTCAACTTCTTTGCATTTTATCATTTTTTAAAAACTGCAATTAGGTGAGGTGTCCTCTCCTGAGAAATTGCTGCCTGACAAAAGATTGGCCTTACCGAAAATATAAATTAAAATGGGATTACAGACCTGGCCCCTATTTTATGTTTCTTCTGCGTCAGGGGTAGGCAACCGTGGCTCTTTTATGACTCGTGGACTTCAACTCCCAGAATTCCTGAGCCAGCATGGCTCAGCTTGGAAACCTCTCCCTTTCCCCTCAGCATGGCTGGCTCAGGAATTCTGGGAGTTGAAGTCCACAAGTCATAAAAGAGCCAAGGTTGCCTACCCCATCTCTACGTTAACAGTTATGGAGAGATGCGATAAAATGAGGGAGTGGGCTGTCCGTAAAAACTCTTCTGCTCGGCCAAAAAATGCCTCCTGTTTCAACAGCTGCGTTTCCTAGGAGAGTAGGAAGTACGGCCCTCGCTCCGATTTGGCTTGATGATGTCACCAGGAAGTGCCTCTGCACAGTTGCATTGTCGCCGAACATTGTTTCCTGGCTTGTGATCCTGGCAATTGGGCTAATAGCCTTCTTGCTTGCCTATAATCGGCATACATTTCAGACATCGCTTCCAGCTTCCCCCCTCCCCTTTTCCTCCTCCTCTCCTTCTCTCCTTCCTCTTCCCATCCTCCTTTTTCTCCTCCTCTTCCTCCTCCCTCTCTCCCTCTCCCCCTTCCTCTTCCTCCTCTTCTCTCCCTCTGCTCTTCCCCATCCCCTTCCCCATCTCCTCCTTTTCCTCCTTCTCCTTCCCCTTCCTCTTCGTCTTTCTTCCCCTCCTCCCTCCCTCCTCCTTCTCTTTTTCCTCTTTTTCCTCTTCCTCCTCTTCTCCCCCTCTGCCCCTCCCCTCCCCGTCCCCTCTTTCTCCTCCTTCTTTTCCTCCTCCTCCTTTCCCCCCTCCTCCTTCTCCTCTTATTCCTCTTCTTCTCTCCCTGCCCCTTCCCATCCCCTTCCCTCCTCCTCCTCCTCCTTTTACTCCTCCTCCTCCCTCCTCCTTCCTTCCTTCCTTCCTTCTCCTCCTCCTCCTTTCCATTTCCTCTCAAGTTTCTGGAGCTATAAACTTTTTTTTTAATTTTAAAAAGTTTTTTTATTTATAAAACAGTTAAAACAAAGATGGACATAACGTAACATTCCAGTGTATATATTCCTAACAATTTGTTCCTCATCATACATATAATTCTTAATTTTTCTCTCTCTCTCTCTCTATATATGGGTCTTTGGTTATTCGGGTTTTCTCCCGCGTCAAATTGGAAGTGTCTTGGTGACGTTTCGACGAAGTCTCATTCGTCATCTTCAGGCTAGTGTTTTCGGCTTCGTGCTTCTAGAAGATGACGAATGAGACTTCGTCGAAACGTTGCCAAGACACTTCCAATTTGACGCGGGAGAAAACCTGAATAACCAAAGACCTACATACAAACACCCGCGAAAACCTCAGAAAACATATATTTGTTGTTCGAAGCACGAAGCTGAAAACACCAGCCTGAAGATGACGAATGGGACTTCGTCGAAACGTCGCCAAGACACTTCCAATTTTACGCGGGAGAAAACCCGAACAACCAAAGATTTATATATATATATATATATATATATATATATATATATATATATATATATATGTATATATGTATATATATATATATGTATATATATATATATATATATGCATGCATGCATACATACATACATACATACATACATACATACATACAGTCTCTAATTTGTTTCTCTATATACTAACATAGTTTTATATATCTCTATCTTAACACTAACTTAAAACCCGAACAGTTCTCCTTGATTCACACCAACAATAGAATTTGTCCCAGATTTCAAAGTAGTCTGACTCTGTCTTGTCCTTCATTTCCATTGTGAGCCTATCCATATCAGCACATGATAGGATTTTATATAAAATGTCTTCTTCTGTTGGAATTTCTTTATTCCTCCAGTTTTGTGCATACGCCAGTCTAGCAGCCGTGGGAATATGTAGCATCAAGGAAAGTATCCCTTTGTCGTATTTCTGCGTGGTTATTCCTAGTAGGAAGAGTTCTAGTTTTAGCTCTACCTCTATCATTAGTATTTCTTCCAGGCATTTTTTAACCTTGTTCCAAAAGTCACGGGCTTTTGAGCACTCCCACCACATGTGGTAATATGTCCCTCTTGCCAATTTACATTTCCAGCATGTGGAAGAAATATTTGGACCCATTTTAGCTAATCTTGTGGGTGGGAGATGCCATCTGTAGAACATTTTGTAGAGGTTTTCTTTTGTAGAGCGATAAACTTTTAAAGTTTATCGCTTTAAAGTGGCAAGAAGGTGACAAGCAACAGGAAGAAAGCAGAACTATTTAACTCATTTTTTGCATCTGTCTTTACACCAAGGGAAAAAACAGACCAACCTATCAAAAACAGTGCCATAAAAAACAAAACAGAAACACAAGTTAAGATAGGCAAGAAAATCGTTAGGGAGCACCTGTCCAGCCTAGATGGGTTCAAATCGCCAGGACCAGATGGATTACACCCCAGAGTTCTCAAGGAACTGGCAGATGTGATATCGGAACCACTGAACTATATTTTTCAAAGATCCTGGAACACAGGGGAATTACCAGAGGACTGGAAAAGAGCTGATGTAGTTCCCATCCTCAAAAAAGGAAAAAAAATGGATCCAGGAAATTACAGACCTATCAGCCTGACCTCAATACCTGGGAAGATCCTGGAAAAGATAATCAAACAACGAATCAACGAACACCTAGAGGCAAACAAAGTCATTACTAAAAGCCAACATGGGTTTGTCAAAAATAGATCATGCCAGACAAATCTTATTGCATTCTTTGACCAAGTGACAAAATTAGTGGATCAGAGGAATGCTGTGGACATAATTTACTTGGACTTCAGTAAGGCATTTGATAAAGTAGATCACAACCTACTACTTGACAAGATAGAAAAATGTGGGGTAGACAGAACCACCACCAGATGGATCCGTAGCTGGCTGACCGGCCGTACTCAGCGAGTGGTCCTCAATGGAACTGCATCTATATGGAGGGAAGTGTGTAGTGGGGTGCCCCAGGGCTCTGTTCTGGGCCCAGTACTCTTCAACATCTTCATCAACGATTTGGATGAAGGGATAGATGGGGAACTCATCAAATTTGCAGACGACACCAAGCTGGCAGGAATAGCCAACACTCCAGAAGACAGGCTTCAGATACAGAAGGATCTGGACAGACTTGAACACTGGGCACTAACTAACAAAATGAAATTCAATGGTGAAAAAAGCAAGGTTCTACATTTAGGCAAGAAAAACCAAATGCACAAGTACAGCATAGGTGGCACCATGCTCAATAGTAGTAACTGTGAGAGGGACCTCGGAGTCCTAGTAGACAATCACTTAAATATGAGCCAGCAGTGTGCTGCAGCTGCCAAAAAGGCCAACACAGTGCTAGGCTGCATTAACAGAGGGATAGAATCAAGATCACGTGAAATATTAATACCACTCTTCAATGCCTTGGTAAGGCCACACTTGGAATACTGCATCCAGTTTTGGTCACCACGATGTAAAAAAGATGTTGAGACTCTAGAAAGAGTACAGAGAAGAGCAACAAAGATGATTAGGGGACTGGAGGCTAAAACATATAAGGAACGGTTGCTAGAATTGGGTATGTCTAGTTTAACGAAGAGAAGGACAAGGGGGGACATGATAGCAGTATTCCAATATCTCAGGGGCTGCCATAAAGAAGAGGGAATTAAGCTATTTTCCAAAGCACCTGAAGGCAGGACAAGAAGCAACGGGTGGAAACTAATCAAGGAGAGAAGCAACCTAGAACTAAGGAGAAACTTCCTGACAGTGAGAACAATTAATCAGTGGAACAGCCTGCCTCCAGAAGCAGTAAATGCTCCAACACTGGAAGTTTTTAAGAAGAGACTGGACAGCCATTTGTCTGAAATGGTGTAGGGTTTCCTGCCCGAGCAGGGGGTTGGACTAGATGACCTCCAAGGTCCCTTCCAACTTTACTACTATTATTATTATAAAGTAGTTTGAGAAAAAGTCTGAGCTGAGCTGAGCTTTCGAGAAGTGGGGGTGGGAAGTGTTTTTACCTGGCTCTCCCTGCTTTTCCCAGACACAGAAAGCAATCCTATCTTTATTCACAGCATCTGGGAACACCATCTGTGTCTACCCCTGTTGCATCTTGACTGATTATGTGCCATCAAGTTGAGGTCAGCTCTTAACTCCCACATAACTAGAAAAATGTGTTCTACTGACAATTTGTCCCTGACCTGGTTTTTCCATTTCATTTTCATTTCTTCCCAATGTGCATGCATTGTCACTAGAAGCAACGTCCTAGCTCAGTGAGGGCGAATCTTTTAGAGACCGAGTGCCCCAAAACTGGCCCCGCCCCTGCTCCACCCCCTGCCCACCCTGCTCTGCCCCCCCCATACCCCACCCCGCCTGCCTCCAGTCACCGCCGCAGATCGCCCAGCAGCGCTATGGCGGCCACACCCTCTGCCCGTGCCCTGCAGCATCAACTGCATGATGGGGTGTGAGAGCAGAGTCTTGTCTACGTTGCCTAGCTGCCATGACCTTGGCTGGGCTGCTCCGTGTGGGCCACGCTCGAGGGCGACTCTTCTTCAGGGGGGCTGCTGGAGAGGAGGGGGTCACGGGGGGGGAGGCAAGGTTGGGGCAACGGCACATGTGCCCACAGAGAGGGCTCCGGGTGCTGCCTCTGGCACCTGTGCCATAGGTTCGCCACCACTGTCCTAGCTGTTGGTTTGCCTCTTCTTGCCTTTCCTAAATGCAGGCAGTCTTCGACTTACGACCACAATTCAACCCAAAAATTCTGTTGCTAAGTGAAACATTTATTAAGTGAGTTTGGGCCCAATTTGACGACCTTTCTTTTCAAAGTTGTTAAGTTGAACCACTGCAATTATTAAGTTAGTAACACGGTTGTTAAGAGAATCTGGCT